TCGCCTCTCGACTTCATTCGAGTCCTAGGTTGTGCTAGGAGCCTATGGTTGGATGATCTAAGTGCCCTGTTGGGATTGTATGAATGGAGTGGAGCCTAAAGTGGTGCAGTCATTTAGAAATCAATATAAAGAAGGTTACCATTTAAAACAAGAATATAAAAATAATAAACAACATGCAGGATTTGAAGCAGATGTCAAAATAGAAAGTGAAAATGTATACATTTTAATTTAAATGTACTGGAACTGGATTTGTCACCTGGTCATCGGAGATGGCTACTGTGTTCTTGAAGACGATCCACTCAACAATCTCGCCGCAAGGTGGCGTAGTCAGAGAGCCATTATAGATAAAGTATTTTTCAGTGGAGTTTGGCAGAAGACCTTGTAGGGTGAAGGGTGAAACCCTGGCACTCTTTCCTGGACAGTAAACAAGACAGCTTAAAAACACACAACACAAGAAAAGGTAAGAGAAAACACAAAAAACCACCTGCTGTACCATATCTGCTCACACTGTTGATGCCTTCTATTATAGCAGCGTAGTTCATGTTGTCTTCAGTGCTTATCTGTGAAAAGGAAAACATAATTACTTCAGATAAATCACACATATACATACAGGTTCCAAATGAATATCTTAAAATAGCTTTACTAACAAATATAACAACACTAATACCATTGGAAAAAACCCCAGAAAATAAACAGGACAGCCAGTATACTGTAAAACTATAAGTTCCTATGACTGAAACTTTGTAAGTTAACAAAGTAATAAAATATGAAGGAATAAATAAAACAAACAACGTACAACCCTTTCCTCTCAAAATTATAAACATAACATCATGTCATGGATTTTATGTTTTAGATATAGGTTCTGCTAAAGATATGTATGATCTTGCACTGTTAAATGCTCCATTTATTATTTTACCATAAAGTTAAGAAAAACAAAAGTAACACAAAGGGAATATTAAACAAGACTATAGGACATATTCAAAACCAGAACTTTCATGGTTACACTGCTTTCACCAACAAAGCGTTCGCATTTTTGGAATTTTGAGAAAAAAAAAAAGAAAACGATGAGAAGAAGATTATTTATGACCCAGTTACTGCCAAAGTTGCTGGCAAGAAACAAAACTGGTAGTTAACTGGTAGTTTTTATGCCCAAGCTTTAGCTGGAAAGACACACAGATATTCCCTGCTGTTTCACATGAGGCATTCGTCTTAGATTTGTTCCAACCTGACCTTTCACAGTTCTAACATGCCAACATGGCCAGAGGCAACATGACTGCACAAAGCAGACTGCATGTTAAGAAAAAGTATTTACTATGCTCAGTATGAACCCTGACACTGAACATAAGCACACAGACAAGAACACAGCAATGATCATAAACCAACAATAAAAATAAACCTTCAGTCTAATGATTGAACATTACTATTCAATTCAATGTTATTTGTATAGTGGCAAATCACAACAACAATTTCCTCAAAGCATTTTGTATTGTAAGGTAAAGACCCTACAATAATACAAAGAATCAAACGACCCTCTGTGTGCAAAGCAAAGAAAACCCCAGCGGTCATATGACCCCCTATGAACAAGTGCTTTGGTGGAAGTGAGAAGGAAAAACTTCTCAACACAACTTTTAACAGTAAGAAACCTACAACAGATCCAGGCTCAGGATGATCATCTGCTGTGACTGGATGGGGTTAGGGTAGGAAGACAGGACAAAGCCACGATACTACATACACTGGCAGCATCACTTTGAACATCTGTTTACCTGTTGTGAATTAAAAAGCCCCCAATCAGCTCTTTTCAACAGAGGAGTAGCGGCTCCATGCTAAGTTCCTCAATGATTGCAGTAACTTATTCAAGCTTAACTTTTATTTTATTTTAATTATTGTAATACCTTTCTTCTTCTATTGTCACGCATGCATGGAATAGCTTTTTGAATTTCAATGCTTTACTCTTTAAGCACACAAGTCATACAAACCTCTAAACCTGTTCTCAGCACATAACAATATGCCTTGTAGTGAACACATGCACACACCACAAACCTCAAATAGAACAGCGAGTGCTGTGATTCTGCCTCCAGCCTTGATGCTTTCATCCAAAGAATCAAATCGAAGTGGGTCATAACAGTATATTTGCATCTACAGGAGTAAACAGAAAAAAATAAACACCAATAAGTTGAGTCTATCAGTCCAGTGAGATTGTTTAATTCAGACACTGAATTTCTTTTTGTAAAGGTCCTTTTTAAAAATATGAAATGATTTTGTTTTAAATTAAGATGATATTTTATTGTTGCTTTATAAGAATTCTGGTTATAATGTTATATAATATTATAACATTATTTTTTATCATATTTAAGTAAATGCCTTGAGATGCATCATCTCAAGTAGTAAACAAAACAATACAAGAAATAATATAAAACTAAATTAAGTAGAGCAAATAAAATGAAAATAAAATTATAAAAATGGAACAAAGGTTGCAGAGGTAAAACAAAAAATAGTAAATAATACTAACTAATCTATCATTAAATAAAGACAGAACAAAACTGTGATGAAAACACAATAATAAAGACAGCTAATGATATTTAGATTGATCTTAGAGTTTAACATAGCTGAATGCTTAATTTCTGGACAGAGCTGAACTTATAGATATAGTTTAAATTCTCCTGATCATAACAGATGAATTTGAGTCTGTAAGTAATATTTAACATTTAGGTCATTACCAAGCTCAACACTACTCACATAAGCTGACTCACCTCTAGAGGGTATTTGACACCATTCAGACTATGTTCTGAGCCCTCTGAAGAAGCATTACAGCACCCCCAGTGGAAAGTGATGCACCCCACCTTGACCTTTGACCTGAGACCTGCTCCACTGACATAGAAGTCACCATCCACATTGACGGTCACTAGCAGAAAAGATATGTGAGAAAAAATAGCACGTGTGAGACTGAATTTTCTTTATTTTATAATTGCTATTAAAAAGCTACATTGAGACTAATGTATAAAGAGAGATGCCATTTGTACAACAGCTTGCGTGACCCAAACTGGGTTGGGCAAAAGCATACTAGTAAGTCTACAACAGAATAGCGCTGTGCGATATGACCAAAATCTCATATCCCAATATAAGACATTTATTGTCACGACAACGATATATATGACAAAAAATTTTCTGTAAATTTTCTGTAAATTCTGTGAATCTTGGGCAACTCGACTTGCGTGAAGTGTTTTCAGGTGGGCGTCGTACACTTGGAGTTGAGTGTTTTGACTGATGCGTGAAACTGTACATTTTTAGACACAAGTTGTAACGGACGGAATTTTCTTTGTGATTATTTATTACACAGGGAAAAGCCTGTTCTAACGTTTGAGTCTAAGGTTTATTTTTAGCACCTGATGGCTTTTTTTTTTTGCTTCTCATCCATAAACTCTCTCCATACTCTTTCACACTATTCTTGCGTAGGTGGTAGAAGAGGTTTGCCGTGTTTGAGTCTGAGGTGGGGACCGGTTTCATGCATAATTTGCATAGTACAGTTTTCTGGTCCGTGTCAGACTTTTCATAACCAAACCATGTCAATGCTACAGAGGGAGCCCCTCGTTTAGAAATAAGGTCCTCAATTTGTTTTGAATGGTCCTTCTGCTTGTCATCACTTCAGTTTATTTTGAAAATCTCAACAGGATCTTCAGCTTCATTGTGAAAGGTTTATGTGGAAAATAAACAAGCCAAAGGTTTACCATCAATGTTGCTAATGACAATGTGTAAAAACAGTCACGTAGTGTGGTTATTTTAAATATAAGAGAAAGAGAGAACTTTAAGAAATTAATATTACCACTACAGTGACCATCAAAACGCTGAAAAAATATTCCCTTAAATTGTTTATTTTGCGACACCACGAAACAAACGATAGCGTAATACGAAACCGATATATATCGTTATATCGAACAACCCTACAACAGAATGGCAAAAAGAAAAGAAACAAGATGTTGCAGTGGCAATGACTGTGGATCTGCTTCAAGTTTTTGATATCCCAGATTTTTCAGTTTTATTCTTTGCCTACTGCATTGAAGACTCAACCACAACACAGTGAAAATGTCCTGAAAACAATGGATTAGAAACATACAGAATATCAAAAGATGATCTTCTCTATTTAATACTCTAGCAGCACCTGCACTCTACCATAAAACAGACCTGAATAAAAGTCGCCTTTTCTTTAACTTGCTAAAAAGATACGCTCAAGAATCGAAACTTACTTTGAATGGATCACAAAAGTGGTCATGTTTTCATCGTGTTGCCATGGTCATGTAATTATGGTTTTGTTGTGATAATACCTTATTTACTGTGAACTGATGATATTAAGCCTGTTTTAAGTCACCGATTATTGAACACATGAAGAAAAGTCCCTTTGATATGTTTTGGTAACTGTGATCTCTCTTTGTTTGCCTCCCTTTGTGCCATTTAATCCATGTAAGTTTAAGCCTGTTACGTTTTTTTGTCTTGGCAAAAATCTAATTTCCCCGTTAAGGTAAGGAAAATATTAGCTCAACCTGTTGCTAATTCATTCTTGTTGACTTGTACAAGTATACAGTTTTTTTTTTCTTTTTATTAGCCTGTCCTAATTTTTTAAAAATTCACATTTTTATATCTAAATTTCAGCTTGTGGATTTAAGAATGAATCTTTCAACCACAAAAAGACATTTTTCTGTTCAGTGATGGAAGTAAATAAATACTTTAAAAAATGAGAATGTGCTTTACTATTTTCTACTTGTTTGTAAAAGACAATTTGAAATTTAATGGATAACAATAATTATAATGTAGCAATAAATATATAATTTTGAGCTTGCACATACAGGTGACCCTTACAGAAACCAAAAAATGATATAGTAGTTATAGTGCCAATCTCTTAATTTATAGGAGCTATGACTTAAAAATTACATTGGCTGGTGTTCTAATAAATGCTGTTAATATATTCCAAGATTTCAATTTTATTGTCTGAGGAGAAAAAAAATCAGTTGCTAGGCTCAAAAGGACTCCTCCACTGGCGACCATAATGTGTGTAAAATGTCTATTTTATTCCATACAGTAGTTGAGATATAAGTATATGTGAATATGTAGAACTAACCAAACTAGATCAAAATTCTCGTTGTTCTAGAAAACAACAACAACAACAACAACAAAAAAAACAATCCAAAGCATTACTGTTATTACCAGTCTTGCCATCGTTCTTGATTGTTGTTCTGTTAGTTGTCAGATTCTCCCAGCCATCAAAGCTCAACTTCTGGTACTGTAGTTTCACCTGGGCCAGGTTCTGTTCTATGTTGATGGGAGACTGCTTGGCGTTGCTGCAGGATGGAAACTTCTTGGCCCAGTTGTTCTGGTTTAATGTTCCTGGAGTGTGTATATAGACAATTAGTGTTCAGATAAATCATTTTTGGGGCGGTGTAGATCTTGGTGGAAAGACAACCAAATAATAATCAAACCCAAAATAAATTTTAAAAAAATAGTGAAAAGTGAAAGTTGTTACTTTCAATAATTTTCAGTTGAGTAGGTGACTCTCTCGAGTTCAGGGGTGTCACAAAAGTAAGGCCCGGGGCCCAGAATTGGCCCTGCCCACTGGACAGCTTCAAAAATGTGAAGGAGGGCATAGAGTTTAAACCTTTAATTAGATTTTCAGACATTTCAAGCTTTTTCTATTAATAAAGACCTCTTCCATGTCCAAAAGTAATTAACTAACAGATAAACATTTAAATGACAGAATAAATTCCTGTTTTCCTCCATCTAATATAGAAATGTCTACAAAAAATACGATACAAACTCCAATACAAAAAATTGACATTTACCATTTTGTGAATTCATGAAAACTTTGTACCTTATCATTAGAGTTAATCTGGGAAATGAATTACAATGACTTTTTCTGAAATTTGCAATATGATAACAAATCTTGCACTTAATAAGTAAAGAAGTTTTGTGGTTGATTAAATACGTGAAGCACTTCTCATTTCTCTGCTGATTTTTGTAGAAGTTAAACCAGTGAGCGCACTGTTGGAAAAACAAAGATAAATGAATGGAGAAACAAAATAAATGCAAATGCTTAAGCAGAGCTCAAGACTTAAAATGTTTTTTCTTTAATATTACGTGAGCCACATGCTGCTATAGAACAGACAGTATACACATCTGTAACATTTCTGGACAAAAGCAGTGTTAAATGGCAAATGGACTCATTCTAATATAGCGCTTTTCTACTCTCTTGAAGCACTCAAAACGCTTTGCACAATACCTCATTCACCTCATTCACCCATTCACACAAGCACTTTTCTGTATGGCTTTACATAAATGCTTTTTATCTGACATTCACACACATTACACATTACACATACTCTGATGGATGCTTCAGAGAGCAACTTGAGGTTCGAATCTTGCCCAAGGATATTTGGCATGCAGACTGGAGCAGCC